ATTAAAGATGCTCTGAGTAGGAACATTAAAGATGCTCTGAGTAGAAACATTAAAAATGCTCTAAATAGAAACATTAAAGGTACTCTGAGTAGGAACATTAAAGGTGCTCTGAGTAGGGACATTAAAGATACTCTGAGTACTTCATACAAACCAAAACAGCTTCTACTCCTTCAGCTTCTGCTTCTTCACTGCTTCACACAGAGCTCTGCTGCTGCAGGGTCATTGGAGCAATAGTAGAAAAGGTTTGCTGAGCATTAAATACTATAAAACACATTGATATGAAACGTTAAATATTATAAAACACATTGATATGAAACGTTAAATATTATAAAACACATTGATTTGAAGGTTTCATGAGGAGGGCATTGACTGCTCTGTACTCCCCCAGTCCAGCAGCCCTGTCACAGTCGTGACTTCCACTCAGAAAAGTGGAAATAAATGGTTGAGTTTTCCAAGAAAACTGTATTTTTTTAATTCAGAAGTGTTGGTACCTGAGTGCAGTGAGGACTGCTCAGAGCAGGCAGCCTGTCCCAGGGAGCTTTTATCATTTTTAATGGGCATTAAGCAAACACTTCTGAGTTCTGTGGTGGTTCTTTTGTAGATCAGGATGGAGATAAGAAGCTCACCCTGTCCGAGTTCATCTCCTTACCTGTCGGCACCGTGGAGAACCAGCAGGCTCAGGACATTGATGATGACTGGGTAAAAGACAGGAGGAAGGAGTTTGAGGAGGTCATTGATGCCAACCACGATGGGATTGTCACCATGGAAGAGCTGGAGGTGAGTTTCCTCATCATTTAAACCCCAACACTTTTAAAACACAGCGTTGAAACAGCTGGAGAGAACACAAAATCCCAAAATATTCCAATTAATAGCACAACCCCCTGGGTTATGGTGCTCTGTGGGGTTTGCAGGTGCTGTTATGATTTTACTGAAAGAGGAGGGGGAGTTTTCTTAACCAAACTGTTATTCAGGGCTTTGCTTTGAGGGGTTTTTTTTGTCACACACAACACACTGGTGAGTGTTTTTTTTGGGGTGCCTGAAAGCAGCCACGGATTTCCTCAGGTGAGCTGGGCAAAGAGGCACTGTGACTCAGACTTTCAGTTGCAAAAGGAGTAACTGCCAACCTAGAGATTCTTTTTGAGGGGAAAAAAAACCCCCAGCAAAA